ATCCAAACTTTGTAATATTTCTTCCAAAAATAAATCAAATTCGAAGATGGTGAATATCGATCCACTTCTTCTGTTACCTCCCACCCAAAATGTTCAAAATTTAGCTGAAATTTAATTTTGTAATATTATGCCAACGGACTATCCGACTTTGAGCCAAACTTTGCACAACATAATATATTTACCAAGCGTGTATACTGTTGGAAGGTGGGGCTTATCGGCATATTTATTCTAGTACCTTCCCCACAAAGGGTCAAAACGTTCATCCAATATCAAACGACTGGAATATCCTATTTGATCCAAACTTTGCACATCGTAATACTTTTACCAAACCTTGATCATACTGGAAAATGGGACCCGTCGGTCCACTCCTTCTGCTACCTCCCCCACAAAGTGTGAACATTTTGAAAATTTGTTAATTCCATGTAAAACGAATAGAATGTCCGATTTGATCCAAACTTTGCAAATCGTAACACTTTTACCAAACCTACATCATGTCGGAAAATGGGACCCATAAGTCCACTCTTTCTGGCACCTCGCCCACAAAGTCTCAAAATTCTAAAAATTTGTTTTTATGAAATGTCCGATTTGATCCAAACTTGGCACATCATAATACTTTTACCAAACCTTGATCCTCCTCCTGGAACCTCCCCCATAAAGTGTCAAAATTTGTTAATTCAATATCAAACGAATGGAATGTCCGATTTGATATAAACTTTGCACATCGTAATATTGTTACCAAACCGAGATCATGCTGGAAAATGGGTCCCACCGGTCCATTCCTTCCGTTACATCCCCCACAAAGTTTCAACATTTTGAAAATTTGCAAATCAAGCGGATGGAATGTCAGATTTAATCCAAACTTTGCACGTTGTAATATTTTTACCTTGCCTATTTCATGTCCGAAGAAGGTACCTATCTCATATCTTTCTATTTGATAAAACAAATACAGTATATAAATCGAATAATCATACGAGTGTATAATAATTCCATAGACCTTTTTAAAGCACTCCCGAACTGTATCTGTGTTTAACATATGTAAATTCTATGTACAGATCCAAACATGGGATACGCGACAGGATTCCCCTTTTAAAAAAGAAAAGTATGTACTTCATCGATTAAAATAATTAAATATTGACAATCAGTACTTAAACATCAAGTTGATACCACAATTGCCATGGTGAACTTTAGGAAGCATAGGGAAGTACATGGCAGCACGTTGAAATATGGATTTCCGTATGAAAAAATGTTGTAAACAGGTCCGCAAGAACTAATTATGGTAAAAATATGAAAACAATTCGTAAAGGGGCTTTAATCTGAACTTATGGCCAATCATTTGTTTCTTTTACTATTGCTCGGTTCCTGGCCTGAACCCACATGAATTTATATGTCACACTTATGCTAGTTACTGTATATCGTCGGCATTGCCACTACTGCTGCAAAGAGCAACAAAGAAAATAAAACAACATTGGTAATGTAAGAAGAAGAAAAACACATTACAACACAAAAAATAAAATAAGAAAATTCGGCGAAAACTGTTTTCTTAAAACAAACAAAAATAACAGTCTTTGGTAATAATATAACTGCTTCATGGCATGGAACAAAGTACATGATCTTTTTTCATTTCGACATATCCATTGGCCAAGGGATTTTATTTTTTATTTTAGTGTACTATTTGGTTTGACTTTAATGAATTATGAGTTATGGTTTCATTATTTCTTCTTCGTTTGGTTTCTTCTACATGCATACATATCCGTCATTCGTCGTCGCACTGTGTTTAGCTGTGTAATGTGATGTTGTTTTTGTTGGTTTCTCCATTTCAACTTCGTTTGGCTTTTACTTGGCCATAATCATCGTCATCGTTGTCATTATAGCTAACATTCGCGTTGTGCTCTGCTGTTCGCTTTTTCTTTCTCCCTGTGGCCGAAAGTCAGCCAGCCAGCATGCTAACACCACCAAGAAAAAGACATACAGCAGGGCAACGACGAAGAATCAACAACCAACGAACCGACAGAAGAAACAGCATTGAGACAATAATAATTTGGGAGTCACCTCTTGACGGAGTAGAGTGTGTTTAAAAATAATTCAAGTAAATTCCAGAAAGGCAGTGCCAAAAAACGGAAAAAATTGTATAGAAAAATTCAAATAAAAAAATGAAATATGTTGCAGTTGTCGGTCTAAATGGTTAGAAAAAAACAATGCAACCATATGATTTCCAAAAAGTTTTTTTTTTTGGTATCGTAAATGTCTGTCCATTAGTTTTTTTACAAAACTAACAATAACACTGATGGGTGTCTGCTATAAAAGTTTGTTCTGAAGAAAATTTCATATTTTTCGTTAAAAAAACTTCCCCTACATGGTTGGTTGGTATATTTTTTTTATCAGCTTAAAGGTCATTTTATTGATTTTTTTCATTCTGTGTCACGTCATTGTCTGTCTGTCTGTCGGTTTGCCTGCCTTCTTTTTGATGTCGTTCTTTGTGCAAATCCTCAAAAGGGGTTTGTTGTGGCGGCTCCGTATATATAGATATATATACATATATATTCGTAATACCCACTTACATCAGCTGGAATTGAAGTTCTTATTGGTGGCAGTGCGTATGGGTCTGTGGTCTGCAGTTATTTTATTTTCCTTCTTCGTTTTTCCTTTTCGATTTCTTCTTCTTCTCTTGTTTTGCTTTTTTGTTATCTTTTTTCGTTTCTCTTCAAAGAAGGATTCGTCATCTGTTGTGTGTTATTGCACTTGTTCGTGTTGTTTTTGTTGTTGTTGCTATATTTTGTTGTCTGCCACATTTTACACATTTAACCCCTGCACTGCAGCACATGGACTGCTGTTGCAACGAATCATACACCATTTGGGTGAATACATATATATATATATATTCACACAAACACACATACACTCCCTATGTGGTGTCCATGTGTAGTTTGTCATTCCGAGGTTAACGAACAAACCAATCGAAATATGTAAGCTAATGTTTTGAGTGTGTTTTGTTTTGTTTTATTTCTTTTTTTTTTTGTTTGAAGGGGAGGTGGAGTAAATGTAGTTTTGGTGGTGGATGTTGGGTGCTCTGGCTATATTTAAAGTTATATGCCATTTGTTCCTATTTCTAACTAATTACACCTTGCTGCTGCCATGGTGAGCCAGAAGCCAAGAGGTCATTGGAAGTAGTACACTTATCGCAATGACTTATTCTATTGAATTCAATTTACTAATCAAACAACTTCTCATTGATTATTTAAGCAATTCTATTGTAGGTCTTTGGTCACCGAATCCAAAAGTTCATTCATACTTTTGTGTTTCGCACTTCAGACGCATGATATTTGTAAATTTTTAGAAGACAAATTATTGTAACGACAGATGTTGATATTGATATCTGTCCGAAGGGTACTAGGTAAGCCGACGCTTAAAATGGCATAAGTAATACCTACAATGCATATAAAATCGGATGGGCTCCATGTACAAAATAAACGGGAATTCGATATAATCTATATGCGATCCTCAAATATTTTATTACATCCTCTGCCTTATGGCTATGATATAGCTTATAGTGATAGAGAACACTATAAACTACTCAAAACTGGTATGGGCAATAAATTGCTTTTAACCCTATAAATCCCCGGGTCGAGATGGCACAATACTGGCCATGCTGCTGCACGCATATGAACGAGTATTGATCGCTCTCGCTTGTCTGCTTTTGTCATATATACCAAGTCTATGGAAAGAGATAACGGTTACTTTCATTCCGAAATCTCGGAAGCCGATTCATACGCTACCCAAGGACTATAGACCAATTAGACTTTTTTTCCTTTCTACTAAAGACTTTAGAAAGGATACTAGACTCGGAAATTAGGAACATTATCAACCCAAACAAAATTAGTGACATTGCCTTTCATTTCATATCGAGAAGAATATGGAGACCTCCGGTTACATATTGGCTGTGTTCCTTGACATTGAAGGAGCCTTCACATTCTGCTCTAGATAGTTCAGGAATCCCCTCCCTCTTAACGAATTGGATTGATAGAATGCTGAAAAGCAGAATTATCAATTCGTCCATTGGAGAGAGTTCCGTGAGGAAATCTGTCAACAGAGGCACACCACAGCGAGGAGTACTATTTCCTCTACTATATCTTTCTGTTAATCGGTGGAAAATTTCTGCTAAGTGCCTTATTAGAAGAAGGATGTCACGACGTAGTTTCCTAGTAGGGAATCCTGGGCAAGTGGCTCCTTACCTCAGGCGGGTCTGTCGATATTTACAGACGGGTCGAAGATGGAGGAAGGTACTGGTGCAGTCTACTGCAAGGAATTAACCATCTAAAACTCATATAAACTTAGGCAGAAATCCTAGCAATCACGAATGTCAAAACACAACAATTGAACATTTAATCTGTGGGTGTCCATCGCTAATTAGCAGAAGACGCGATAGTTTGGTAAATATGAAATTGATAATCTAGAATTCTTCTCGGGAATATATCCCAAGCAGCTCCATAGCGTTGTAAAAACTCTGACATGTTCGAGTTTGAAGATGGGGAATATCGGTACACTCCTTCTATTACCTCCCCACATGTTCAAAATGTTCAAATTTGTGCAAACAAATAATTTTATAAAATCATACGAACGGACTATCCGATTCGAATCAAACTTTGTACAACCTATTATCTTTACCAAACCTAGACCCGTTTAAAAAATTTAAAGACAATTTAGAATTATCCATATGGCTGACTAGTGTGCATGATACCTCGCGAAAAATGTAACCAATGTCATTCATTTTATCTATTAACTGGCGAACCAACAAACAAACAAAATATTTAATGTCTCCCAATGTATTTGATTTGATCCAAACTTTGCACGGGTACTTGTACATTAAATTTGAAAAAAAAAAAATCTTTGCAGCCGTAATTTTAAAAAAACTTACTGGTGTATCCAAACTATGTACAATTTTCCATATACATACCTATTTATGGCTTCATTTATATTTAAACGGTTGTGATACTTTATTCTTAATGTTTCTTCCCCTTCTTCTTCTATTTACAGCTGAAACAACACCAACGACAAAAAGGACAGAAAGTCGAGAAGGCAGCGTAGAAAGAAGAGGTGAGTTGTTGTTGCAATTGATACTACTCGACGAACACCACATCCATACAGTCGAAACAAAATCTATCAATTAATGTAGACGAGTATAGCTAAGATATTCGGTATACGTCTAATTACTTAGTAATGTGCTAATTGAACTGGTGGTCCGGTTTCAGTTTGGTTAAGTATACATTACCATGGGGAAGTTGATTGTGGCTTAAATACATACATTTCTTTTACGCCCCATACAAAATCCAAGAATCTTTTAAATTCGTACATTATTTCGAATATGTATTAGTTCATATGTGGGTATATTGATTATCTATATTGTGACGTCATTTTTTGTTTTACTCCAAAAGGAATTCATACGAATTTAGCAACACCATGGTGCTTTGCGTTAACTTGTCATTTGTTTTTGTAATCAAATTATAGCAAACTCCAAAACATGTTATAATTTCCATTCATATATATATATATATTATTGGTGCGTCTGTTCAAAGTAGCTAGCTTGTACAATCATTGTAGGTATTTTCCTTTAACATCACCAACAACAACGAACGTAATGTCTGCATATTATGTGGGCTTCTTTAGTTATGTGAGTTCGTTGGTGTTCGTACCTCTTTTATACAACAATTATAATATGTATGTTAGTATAATATGTATGAGCGTTAGCGCTCTATAACATATTTATAGCATTATCGGTCTAATGGCTGACTGGTTGTTTGGTTGATTGCTTGCTTGTTGTTGGTGGTTAGCTATCTTAGCAGTCGTTATTTTCCAGCAAGTCAAACCTTTTTGATTGTTCGTTCATTCGTTCGTTATGAATATGCCGGTCAATATATGCATACACACTTTATTGTGTCTTCTATTAAAAGATTCGTTTGGTTTTTTTTTTCTTCGTTTGCCTTCACTTTCAAAAAGAAATCAACATTTTCTCCCACCCACACTTGAAATTAAAGCCAACCAGCCAGCCAACCCTCTCGAATCAATTAAGAATCTTCATATATTTATTACATTTTATCATCATCATCTGACTGACAAATGCAGAATGATGTAAACCATTGTATTATTTTTTTCAATTGCTACTTTTTTCTATGTGATGGCCCAGACATTCTTTAGCCATGGATAATGCCATTCGACAATAATAATATGGGCGATTGTGTTTTTCTTTTGTTTCGATTCTAAACTAAATGTATTTGAGAATGCATTCAGACAAGTATTTTTTTAGAGTGTTTCTTGGAAGCTATGCAATGAATGAAATTTGGTTGGCTGTCTGTTTCGACCCACATGGAAATTATAAAATGGAAATCCGCAATCAAAGCGTATGATCAGAATCAATTTATACCCTACATAACAACACTTGAACTCTCAATTTTGAGACGAAACCAGAAAAAAATATATATATATATATATATATTTAAAGGGCAGTCCAGTTTGTATGGCGCCGAACAATTCGATAAAATCCAGAAGTTGCTTAGAATTGTCCATAGAATCATCCTAGGGGCTGGATTTAATAGACAAAAAAATTGGCCCGGCATAATATATATATATATATATATAGATAAAGATTTCTTAATCCAGACTATGTGTTACAATCGATTTTCTAATTGATGTTCGTGAAATTTACCCATGTCCTTGTCTATTTGACTTTGCAAATATTAGGTTGGAGAAAAATAAATACATTATTTTTATACGAACTATAGGACATTATTTAACATGCTTCGGAATGTCCGATTTGGGTCAAATATGCGCTCTCTCTCTCTCTCTAGATCATGTCCATAAGACTATGACAGGGGTGTTTTTGGCGATAGCACCCAAGCAAGTACGGGATCGACAACATTTAATTGTGTCGTGGACGGTCCACATGAAGATGGTCCACAGCAGTGGACCATACGGTTATCACACCCTCGAACCTATAATTTTGTGTTGTATAAAGATTAATTTAATAATATACTATAAATAATATATTAAAAGGGATCAGAATTTGTATCAAATCTCCATCAAGACTTTAGACAAAGGAAAAAGTGCTTCTGGCTTTGTTTTTTCTTTAAAAAATTGTAATTGTTTGGTGCATGTAAAAATATTTTATATAAATGTATTTATTATACATGTATGTATATAAAACAGTTGATCGTCATGTTTTTTGCGACTTTGTTTTAATTAGATTTTTCGTAAGATTTCTCTAAGCACATTTAATTATCGCCTATTTATCGTATCTATCTCAGTTTTCCCATAGCGAGCCTAATTGATTGACTTGACGGTATAGTCTCTTCCTAATACGTCCATCTACTATTGAGAACAACAAGCTCAAAGAGGAAAGAACAAATAAGAAAACCACAGAAACAAGTTATTTGTAAAATTCTGTTATGGAATGGTATTTTACTTTGCTGCCGATAACATTGACTGGCTGACGACAATTAGATAATCCACATCTGTATTGTGGGTAAATATGTTTTACATTTCCAACGAGTTTAAATAGAAAATACACGATAATAATTTGTGTTGAATGAGGGTGTGAAAAGTCACTTTTGATTCCCTTCCAGGGAGATTGTAATCTCCCAACCAAAAAAATCAATTTTTAGAGACAAAACAGTCCTCCCAAATTTCGGTATTTTTGGGTGTTGAATCACACTTTTAGTTACTTTAGTTTTGGCCTCCAGTGCATGTATTTTTTTTTAAGTCAAACCCTGCCTAGTTTGCCTAAAAATGGTTACACATTTGAAAATCCCCACATTCAAGGTCGATATTTATTAAGCGGGCCTCCCATTCAAAAAATTATTTTTTTTTTATTTAAATCGAAGCTACACTAATTTAAACTGTCCCTTTAATATTTCAAGTGAAATTTATTGTGTCAGCATCAAGCAACGACAGAAATGATTCTCAAACTTTAAACGCGTTTTTCTCGAAACAGTATTACCAATGCCGGACACGATATTCTGCACGTATATAGCTATTGTATGAACTAGGATAAATGCAATCGCGTAAGGTCTCCCTTATTTTCTAACTCGGATTGTGGTCGAATATAGGTAATTTTTCAAAAATAAAATTTTCCTTTTAATACATTTGATGATCGTACACCCGTTTTTAATTTTGAAATTAAAACCACATTTAAAGTTTTTATTTCACATTCACATTTTACCACATATTCTAAGCTACTTATACTACATTAAAAGAAGGCAATACAATTTATTTTCTACAAAACTTCAAACCTTCAATTATTTTTCAAGTGATCTTAATTTTCATTATCTCAATTGAAATGGTATTACATTTAGGGCTTAGCTGCTTTTGTTAATATTTTAACTGAGGGTAGTAGATTCTTGAAAATTTAAATAGCGAAACGAAAGACAGGCAGAAAGAAGAATACACCGATTATGCCTAAAACAGCGGTCGGCCACAAGAATCCCAAAAAAGTTTGCATGAACTTCTTCATTTTGTTTGGTGAAGTTGTTTTCTTTTTTCGTTAAAAAAAGGAGGCTAAGATTTGAATATCGTCTACTAAGATCTTCAAACAATTACTTACATATATGTGTATACGTTGTTGTCAGTCAGTCAGTGTCTAGAAGACATTAAATTGAAACTGTAGATTGAATTTTAGTAGTGGATGCAAAGAATAATTATAATAACAACTTGACCCAAATCCAATTGGAAAGCAACAAAGAGAAAGACAATAACAACACAACAATGAATTATAAAACAATTTAATGACTTCATGTCTCAAGCGAATCGTCACCATAACCAGCCAGTCAGTCAGGCAGTCAGTACCAGTAGAGCGATATAACACAATTCAACTCATTCAATAATTTACTATGTAATAATATTGTGTACAAACTACTAAAATAGCATACCGGGCCCAATGATGACGCAATCGTCTCTTTGAGCAGTAAGTTAAGTGAAAATGAGGAATCTAGAATAGCTGTAAAAAAACCTACAACAAAACAATAACAAAACACTCGCTTTGAAGAAAGAAAATAAAAAACAACAATAATAGAAACACTACATATTATCTTCGATTTTATTTATTATTGTTGTTACTGTTGTTGTATTTTTTATACATCGTGCAAAAATAACAATATAATGACAAAAAATAGAGTACTCTTGGGTCTTTTTCAGGGGATATTTGCAATTTTTTGGAAAATAAAAAGATCGGGGGTATTATTTTTTTCTTTGGGGTAAATTTGGGATAAATTTCAGAACTATGTTCAGAAGTTTAGTTTTTTTTCTGTAGAAGATCAGAAGGTATTCTCTATTTTCTGTAGAATATTTATGGGGCAAATTTCAGCTATGTAAAAAATGCCGAAATAGGTAAAAACAACATCAACAGACCGTAATCTATATAAATGCAAAATAATGCCAATTTATAAATTACGACTGTCTGGTGGTGGGCATTCAATTTTATAATGTCACCGGCATGTGAATGCAAAAAAAATCGTTTATTATTATTATTAAATCAGCGACTCTTTTCGTTGAGTATTATTTGTCGTTTCGCGTTTCTTAAGTGTCAACAAAATGAACAAGAAATAAAATCGACGTTAAGTTCCGAGCTGAATCGAATTTTTTATACCCTTCATCATGAGATTGGGAGTTTTATATAAGGCTATGCCATGTCCAATTTATGGTAGGAACATTTGAAACACAATGAACATCTAAAATATCAAATTATAGACTTCTAAGAAATACACATTTTCAAGAAAAAAAAAACGGCAAGGAAAGTTCACAAGTCGGACGGACCCTTTACCACTTTGGGTACATACAACAGATGCTCCTATGTACAAAATCCTATAGATAGAAGAGATATAACATCTTTGGAAGCCACTGAAATGGAATCGGACGAAATTAAATGTGTGAAGTACATATTTATTTGAATAAAATTAAAACAACCCATACACATACCATTCTGAAATTTATGAAAAATTGAATGTCAATCATGTGTATTATATCGAGCAAATAAACGCTATTAATATATGTTATGCAATATTACATGTTAAGCGAACAGACATAGGCTCCTCCATTTGCATAAAATCGCAGAAAAATATATGTGGGAGTATATATCTACATCTGAACCGATTTCAACAATTTCGTGCAAATAGAACAGGATCTACCCTGCACCACTTAAATAAAATATTACTATTGTTTATATGTGAACTGTATTTAAATCTGAACCGATTTCAAACTTGACAAAAATCATTCTACATTAAATTCCATACCCGCTGCTAAATTTTGTGAATATAGAATAAACATAGTCTCCTCTGTGCACCATTTAAAAAAAAAATCGGACGAAACTATAAATCTAAAATCTAAACCGATTCCAACAAAACTTCGCATACATCTACGTGGGCGTATACTGATCATTGTTAAATGTTCAACTTGGTTGAAAAACGTGTCCTTAACTCCCCAATATAACGAAATTGGGGAGGTACCGTTGAATGGGGGGCTATTGTAAAAATGGACCAATATAAATACTTTTTGATAGGAGGATTTGCTACCCACTGCGAACCTAAAATACAAAAATAAAAGCTGAAAACATTCCCAATGGGGCTATCGTAAAATAATGAACAAATATATTTACATTTTAATATGATGATTTGCTACCCAAAATACAAAAATGCAATTCGGTTGCAAAATTTTCCCAAAATACAGATATTTGTGAGGTACCGTTTTATTGGGGGCTATCGTAAAACGTTACCCATTATTGAAATTTTTGGTAGAAAAAATTGCTCCTCAATGATACCCCAAAAATATCAAATTACAGACAATTTGATGGAAAAGCGTGCCCAATTCCCCAAATATCCCCCAAAATACTAAAATACACTCAATTCGGCCATTTCGGTTGAAAACGTTCCCAAAATGCCGATATTTGGGATGAAGCATTATATGGAGGCTATCGTGAAAAAGTCAACCAACATTGAAAAATTTTAATAGGATAATTTGCTACCCAATGAGAACCCAAGTACCAAATTACAGTCAATTCGTTTGTAACTTTCCCCCGAATACCGAATTTTGGGTGTTACCGGTACATGAGAGGTATCCTAAAAAGTGGACCAATATTGATAATTTTTATTGAGAAGATTTGATACCCAATGAAAATGCAAAACACAGAATGCAGTCGATTTGGTGGGAACAAGTGCCTAAAAGGTTCATAAAATATGGATATCTGGTGGTAGGTACCGTTATTTAGGGCAATCGTTAAAAGTGGTCCAATATTGATACATTTTGGTGAGAAGATTTTATACCCAATGATAACCCAAAATACCAAATTGCAGCCAATTCGAATAAAAACTTTCTCAATATACTGATATTTGATCGTTAGAAGTGAACCAATATTTTTGTTAGGAAAATGTGCTACCCAATAAGAATTCAATATACCAAATTGCGTTATAGTGGACCCACACTAAAAAATGGACCAATTTGATCACTTTTGGTGAGATAATTTGCTACCCTATGATCAATTCAGTTGAAAAACCTATCCAAAATCCCCAATAGACTAAATATAAGGTAACGATTTATAGTGTGGAGCTATAGCAAAACTTAAATATTTTCTGTTTTCAATACCAATAATCCTATAAGTGATATCAATATATGTGCAATATTTCAAAGCTCTATCTTAATTTTTCCGAGCTCAATTGTTCTTTCGACAGACAGACAGACAGACAGAAATATAATTTTATTCCGATCAAAAATATATGTATACTTTATGGGATCTCCGACGAATATATATCAACGTATTGTAAACGGAATGCAAAATGCAATGTGCACACTCCACCTTATATCGGGCAGAGTATAACGGTGATAACGATCTGTCAAAAATATTCCAAAGATTTACATACACACGAATGACTGGATGAATACATATGTAGGGGGATAGAGGGTTTTTGTATTTAATTCTTCTGGTGTGATTGACCTTGACTTTTCATAGATAGAAAGTAGATAGGTATGTGTGGTTTGTAGAGCAAATATTTACCCAACTTGCTGCATATCTTTGTGTATTGTTTGCTGTATGCATGGTAACACAATTATTGTTACACTAGGTAACAAAATATACCATTCCATTAAAATTATTTACTATTTTTAATATTTTCATAAAAAACATTTTGAAACCATTAACTAAATGTTTATGTTTTTTTTTTCTTTTTTCTCCCAATTTTTTTTTCGCAATATACGTTAATTTTCAAACATTGCTTTGGAAAATTGTTACGTTTTGTTATCATTTATGTGTGGTCTATGGCAAACTCTGTGGCAATTGTTCCTTGCATGCCGGCTGCATACCTCAAATAACATTACCACGAACGATGACTTTGGACTGCGAAATGCTGATGGTTAACAACGCTCACAATGACGGTTGTATTGGATTTTCATATTCCAATGGCCCCTCGTCTCATCATGTGTAATTGTTTCTGTTGTTTGTTTTATTGCCGACTATTTCGTTCGTGGCTATTTCTATTGCCTATTACCATCCAACACTGGTTGTTGGTTCATGCTATTGCCATGACTGTGCTCTGCGCTATTGATAATCCGACCAACTACATGGATGAAAAATATTCATTTATATATGTTTAACTAACCGGCAATCGATTTGTATGTCTGGTCGTCTGCCACAATCCCTGCCTCCATGCCAATTATGACTTATGAATAAGCAGCAGCCAAAGAGCGTGACGATAAATTGAAAGTTGCTAGGGACCGTCAAAATGAAGAAAGACAAAGAAAAATCGAAGAGCTAAAGGCCCAAGCAGAAGCAGCACAAAGATATCGTGAACAAAAAGAGGAGGAACGCCGACGCAGAATCGAAGAAATTCGACAAAGGGATTCGGAAAAGCGTACACAAGTTGAAGAGCGTAAAAAGGCCATTATGGAGGCCGAAAAAGAACGTCGTGAATATATTCTGAGGAAAAATATGGTATGTTATTGTTGGTAACCTATTATTTTAATACATAGATCTTTCAAATGTGTACATTCCTTTATTTAGGAACGAGAATCAAGAATTGAAGTCAAGAAACGTGAACGAAATTCTATAGGTTATGCTTTTGGTTCCTCAACACCTCGCCTCTTAGAACCCGCTGACTTTGGCATGGTATCACCAAGCACATTCTGGGGACAAAGACGGTAAGTTAATTTTAATATTTTGACGTAATTTCCCAGTTTACCTGTAAACCTGTCAAAAAACATTATAAGGGAAAATGGTCCATTCTTAAGGAATATATATTCGAAGAAAAAGTCGTTGAAATGTTGACAATTTTCATAAAAACCCCGGCAGATTTTACAAATATTTGATGATATTGTCATGAAAAAATTACTTAACGAAACTATGAACCAATTGAATTGCAAATCAAGCTTATTAACAAAGTATGGAGATAACATATTTTGTATAGTTAAGAAGGATCATATAGGCAATACCCTTGCAACACTGAACAAATAAAATTCACAATAGAATGTGAATCCGAAAATAAGCTCCCATATCTTGACTCAATTGTACATAAAGGAACATATTAACAGCCTGTTGAAAATTGTTTATCCTTTGTGGGGGAGGTATCAGAAGGAGTGGACCAATGGGCCCCATCTTCGGACTTGGTCAAAGCTTTGTGAAGATAATTGGCTGTGCAAAGTTTTGTTCAAATGGGACATTTCATTCGTCCAATTTTGCAAATTGGTATTCCCTATGTCGTTGTCGAAATTTATCGATAACTATTGAAACATTTTTGGTATTCCGTAACAATGTGCGAAGACGATATTGTCGAAGATTTCTTCGTTATAATTTTTGTTGACGATTGAAGTGTTTGAACAATTTTTTTTTTTTTAAGAAATTAAAAAACCATCACCGGAAGTGATGTCGAAAGAGAAACGTCGTCGACAACGACGACGACATACGGAATAAGGGTGAATTGTACTGGCTACAAACGGATCGCCAATCAGGACATTTGAATCAAACCAAATAAATGAAATCATAGTATTCATATGATTTGAAACTCCAGACAGAGACTTGTGGACGAACGGACGGTTCAAAGACTTTTTAAGACCGTGTATTGAAGTTTCACTTTGCCAATCAAATCGCAAAAGGGTCCTTTAGGAGCTGGTTTGGGTTATAACGGAGTGTCTAAAATGGTTTTTTAACGTTCCAACTCTGGATTAACTACAACAAATTTCCGAACAGATATTAAAGAAACTATAAAAACAATAACTTCCAAAACTGTTCTGGAATGCATAAAAACCATAAATAATTTATCCCTATACGGGTTTGTATGAATCATATGCCTACCGGATCAACCAGACAATGAGAAAGCCAACCTATTCGCCCGAAGTGCTTTTGACCTACACATTATACATGTGAACAATGCCATACCGTTTAGTGCAATACGTCTACAAGTGAGGTCATTGGCGAAACAGGCCCACAAACTAGTTTGGAATATCGAGGACACTGGAAAGGAGACAAAAATAGTATAAAGATTGGACAAAACAAATCTTTAGGCTTACCCAAAGGACACCACAGTCTGGAGGGACATTTACATAAGATTGGATGGACCGGAAGTCGCAGGTATACAACTTGCGAACATTTCCTGTGTCACTGCCCAGCTTTTGCAAATCTTCGAACCAAATTCTTGGGAATGATACAATTCACGATCTAAATCACAGAAGGGGGTGTGAATGGAAAATACTGAAGGATGGACTTCCCTTAGGGTTCACAGAATATCTAGAAACATGGAGGGACCAATCTAAAGATTTTTCACTTAATCGCTATCCTTTCTAGACCACTGAACGGCCGTCGTTGACTGGCCTAGGTGTAAACCAACCCCTCCTTTTAAATTAACATAACATATTTTTAAAGTCCTATTAGCAAATTTTCTTTATCTTTATTCCTAAATTAATATTTTTCTTAAACATTTAAATTGCAGATCCACTTCAATATCAAATGTTGCAGGTGCTTCACTTTCACGTCGAAGTTCTGAGCGTGAACTTAACGATTGTGGTTCTAAAAAGCGTGCAACATCAGCCAGTGGTACAGAGAGACACGAGGGTAAGTCCAACATAAACAGTACAGTGTTAAGAGAAAATATCTACTTAACCGCGATACTATACTATATGATATTGTGTTTTGACAATTACACATGTTACAGTACGTTGACAGTTGTAAACCGTTGAGAAAGCAGTTTATTTATTTTTGTTCTTAAATTTATTTGTTAGCTACGTACGTACGTACATGAAAGTTGTTGTGTGCCCCAGCCGCCCTCTTTCTTTTGTATTTTAGTTTGTTACGTCGCTACCTTTTTTCGATTTTATTTTGTTACAGCTACAGATATTCTGTGACAATTTTGGATTCTATTTAATTATAATAATTATGAAGATAAATTAAAAATATTTTTTTGTTGCAGATATTGTTTGTGTGTGTTGTGCAATTTTTTTAGTTATATTATGTTCCTAGTTTGCAATTTGACATCAACAAATCATGAAATAATTTCTTATACAACATTCCAAGTAATTATTTTTTCATAAGAAACAAAATAGGAACAATTCTGAAAAAATTGTAATAATCAGGCCCATATTAATTTCAACTTTTACGGGGTTTACTCTCTTTTATTTCAGTAACAATTTATTATTTGAACATCTCTTAATCTTCTTTAACTATGGAAAGGGCAAATTTCACACATTTTCTTTAGTACATTTAAAAAGGAAAATAGATTTTTAGTTTGCATTGCTTTTATTTTTACTTTCCAGTCTTGTTTTTTCTTATTTAGTTTACTTTTCCTATTTGCATACAAGCAAGCACTGCTATCTATGTTCACCACAATTTTGAAGACACAATGAATATCTTTTTTATTTTAGTTTATTTTTTTAATTAAACTTTTTCCTCTTATTATTAGTATTATGTATTGTCACATTTATCTTTGTGTTTATCCACTTCTTTCCATCATCTTTTCACGATAACAACAACAACTATCTTCCTTTTAATATTGTACAAAAAATATGTATAAACAACAACGAACACCAAAGGTCATCGTCGTAGTAGATCATCAATGTATGAAGTATTTAACTGGGGCTATACCAATGATGAGCCTCCCAAAAGATTTTCACTTTCAATTGTTGGCAGTGAAATTAACATAGATGGCCCACCATCATCATCATCCATACAAAGAACAGCGGCACCATCAGCGAACACAACAAATAATATCATCAGCGACAACACCAAGAACACAACAGAGAATACTCATCTCAATAATAATAACAATAATACTCATCATTATAGGCAATATTCAAATCATAATAATTTTTATACATCTGCTAAGGGTGAGGATGCAAGAGAACTCCCATTTTTTTATTTTTTTTAATTGCATCTCTTTTTTTCTTCTGATTATTATTTTTTTTTTTTTTTAATTTTTCTTAACACCAACCTGCTGTATTTTTTTTTTAATTTTTAAATTAGTTTGGTTAACATTTAAAAGAACTTTAGCTGACCTTACAATTATGCATTGTTTTTTTTTCAAAAATTCTCTACTTCTTAAAGTACTTATAGGAGAAAGTATCGAATATCGATCGATAATTAATTTACTGTTGGAAATATTGATTTTAACTTGACTACAATCCTCAGATGATACGAGTGCCGTTATCGGTTTAATCGTGAAGGGAACTTCTTGGTTTTTCCCTCTTTTAAAGACAACTCTCACTCGGCATAATTCACTGGTCTTTATTTTTTAATATATGTGGATTCTTATGGATCCACAAGCTCCTTCTCGTGTATTAATAAGTTTTGGACTATAATTTTGGTTCACACTGAGTTTTACTAGTATCACCCCTTTAACAAAGTATTATCATCAAAAATATTGGAAGTAATTGTATACAATGACATCTCTCGATTATTTACAAACATACGTGATGGAGTCATTCTTGATGTATTCGAATAAATTTTAGGTATTATTCTAGGTCATGTTCTTGTGTTAACCAAATTGTTGCAATATTGATTGAGTCTCTCTGTACTAACATCGAATGAGATAAATGTACAACCAAAAAATGTGTTCTTGATTTTTTTCGTTTTTGTATTTTCTGTGCACCCCAACTTGTATTTTTTTCTAATATTTTTTGCTAGTTGTATATTTTTTTGTTTGTTATAACCTTTAAAAAATTTGTTGCATGACTTTTTACTTTTTTTCTCATTAATTTATGTTTTCTTTTAACTACTTATTTTTTATCATACAAAAATATAAATATTTTTTTGTAAATATTATAAGCAATTGCCTGGTCGATAGAAGATATCATCATCTACAAATTATCGATTTTTTCATAGTTCTTAAAATCGAACGAAATGAAATGACATAATTTTTTTCCAATGTATGTGGGATGTTAGTTTGTATGTGGTTAATTCTGAATATTTTGTGATATTTTTCAAGTTTATTTTTGTAAAAATTTTTTTTTTCAAGACTAATTTAGTCGTTGATTTTTTACAATATTTTTTTTCAAAAACAAACAATTTATTAAAGCATATTTTAGGCGCGTAATTCAAAAAAATCAATACTATTAATAATATGCGTGGATCTTCTTCGATAAGCGTATTTTTTTAATATTGTTTTTCAAGTTTTTGACAGGCGTTGATTTTGAAAAATTATTTTTCTAAGTAAAGTTTTGGGCGTGGATATTTAAAAATTTTAGGCGTGTAGGTTTTTAAAAATATTTGCCTGTATTTTTAAAGGGGGTTTTAAGTCAAATTTGCTTTGAATTTTTTAAAAATATTTTAAAGTATAATTTTAGGTGTGTAGGTTTTTAAAAATATTTGCAGGTATAATTTTAGGCCTGTTTTTTAAATGGGGTTTCAAGTCAAATTTTAGCCTTGAAACGTTTATTTAATTTTAATAAATATTTTTTTTAAACAAAATTTCACAAATTCAGAATTAACTCCATTTACAAACAACAACAATTAATTCATAATAACATGAGAGAAAAATCTAATTTTGCCTGCGTAGTACTTGAACTTCTTTTTTTGCCACTTACAAAACGCATATTTCGCAAACTTAAAAAAAAACAAATGCATAACATTCTTCTTTTTTTGTCGCTTTTAAACCAAAATTCTGTTGGCAGTTGGCGCCACAGGATATAATATCAAGCAAAGCCGAGCATGTCTTCTTTTTTTGTCTTTTTCCAAAGAATGTCGTTATGCTTTTTGCTCTGTCTGTACGTTCATTCTTTGTCGCAATAAGCGACATAATGATGAATGATTAGTATTTCTTAAGAATAATTTCTTTTTTTTTCTAAATAAAATACAATAACATAACGATATATTCCAAATTTTCTTTTTGTGTATGACCGAACAATCAATTCACTTCACTATTACTACGTACGCCCCCGCCCCACAACAAACAACGTATTTACTTTTGTATAGAAGATAATGTCGATACATCACATATTGTGTTTCGAAGTGTGGCCAGAAGAAAAACTGACCTTATGCCAACAATACCGAGTCCCAGGGATGGTCATTACGGTTCCCGATCATCATTAAGTAATACACCTTCTAGAACACCAGGTAAGACAGTCACACACAGATTCATAATGTCACACAACATACATTCATTCACCCACCCACCCAACAATCACAAAAACACCAAAACACAACCATCATAATTATTATTATCATCATCTGAAACTCTTTCTAGACATTATTATGATTATTTTTTTTTCTTTGACATCATGTATCATATTATATCCCCTACCTTCTTCTTCAAATATTGCTATATTTTTCTTGATATATAAATATTTTTTGAAAATTCAAGTCAACTTATCAAAATTAATAAAAAAATACAACTTTGTATTTTATATACCTACTGATTTTACTTCCCATTTAATTTCAATTAGTGTTTTAAGTTCCATTTACCTACCAAACTATATATCTACAACCACAATACCCTTATATCTGATATTCTGTTAAGACAAATTTATTTTGTTGCTTTTTATGCTGTTATTTTCATTATTACTTTTTATTATATTTAAGTTTTCTTTTTTATTTACCCTCTTTTGAGTTTGTGAACGAGATTAATGCAAAATAACTGGATAGAAAAAATCTGCAAAATAGGCAAACAATATATGTATACATAATTTTTAAATTTTCTTAATATTTATCAAGGAGGAAATCTAGCAAACTTTTTTAGATTTCTTATCTAAAAATATTTCATAGTTTGCTGATAAACGGTATTCTACCAGCTTAACTTTTTTATTTTTTAATGATATATCACAGACTTAATGAAGAAATATGCCATAATGTGCCGTAAGACTGATAGCGGCGAGGAATCGACACATTCGGGTCTTCGGCAACACATTCACTTACAGCAGCGAAACGATGATAACTGCGCCAATCTCTTCAAATTTCTTCACAATTTTTCCCACACCATATAAGGTGTGAATTTTTTAAATATTTTATTTCTGAAAAGTATTCCCATCAAAAAACATCTAAAAAAATATATATTTTTGCCGTGCAGATTTTTTATACCTAGTTCACATAGAATAGCATTATATTATTTTATTTGTGTTAAACTTTGTTTTTTTAAGATATCCTATGTGAGTGTGCGTGTGTGATCTATATAGAATTTACGTATTTTGTGATAGGAAGAAGGAAATTCGATTCGATTTTTAATAGTAATACACATACATATATATATATACAAAATATTTACAACATTACACGCCTTTATTATCAATGTTTGTGTGTGTAGCCTAGCCTAGCTTATATTACCTTTCAACCAACCTACAGAAAACAACCTTTTCTTGTGTTCATTTGAAAAAAAAAAGATAAAACGTTTCCTTATTATTCATTAATTATTGTTTAATTTTTTTTTAAATCACCATTATTCTACTCTTAACAATGCCGCTTTTAAACAAACAAACAAAAAACAACAACCAAATGATGCTGCCACTAATAACACACTCTCACACCATGAATAAATTGAATGGATTAAATTTGTTGTGCCCACAAACAGGACGTGCATATTCCATGAATCGTTTGGATCAATTGGCTCAACCAATTCGCCGCAATGGTGAACACATACGAGCCATTATGGAACGAGAACGCCGCGAACAAATGGAAATGATGGATGAAACCGAATCGCTGGGCGGTGGACGTCGTTCATCTGGTCGCAAATCAGCCGGAGGCTCGGGAACGACGACAAGTAAAATGTCACGGAGTATGATACACTTGGCCGGTGAAGGGGCACCACGTCCCAAATATAATTTAGGTGGGGGCATTTCCACCAGCTTTTTACCATTGGGTAGCGGCAGTCGCAATGCCTGTAAGAGTATGACACAGCTGGGCCATTATTGTGGTAATGATAATGTCGCCTGGTCATATACAACACCACGCTCGAATTTAGGCTTACAAACTGCCGCCACCAAAAAATATCTACAATCATCACTAGCTTCATCTGCATCCAACACGTCTAAACGAGGCCAGAACTCTAATACTAACCTCTACCGTTTCGATACAGACTCATTGTTACTCATGAACTCTCCTAGTTTACTCTTAAACCCAGGTGTGTGTGCGTGTTTGCAATCTACTACCTACTTCTACTACTACAACTACTACCTTTACACCACAACTGCATACAAATTTCTCTTCCTCCTCCTATATATACCACCACCTTATAAATCACATTACAAAAAATATTGCTATACAAAAAAACATAATTTCAATATCCCATATTTCTTTTTTTAATTTTGTTCTTTTTCTCTCCTCCTCCGCCTCCTTGTGCATCAAATAGAAAAGAATTTGTTTATTTTTTCTGTAATACTATTTATATTCCTTTTTTTAAGATTTAAATTTAATTTTTTTTATTATTATCTTTAATCACATCAAAACTGCAGATCAACAACAAGAAACAAAAATCTTTACATTACAACTTCGTGTTTGACAATTTTCCTTTTTGTTAATTTCATTATTGTTATGAGAATCTTTATAATTTTAAAATATATATTAATACTTACTACTAATATGTTTCCTTAGATTAACAGTATATTATTAAAAACTCAATATTATATTATCAATAATCAGATGTACTCGTTCTCATCCAAAATCAGTGAGGTCATTTATTTCAACTAAATGATAAAAGTAGTGTTCTAAAACCTTCCCATTTAATGTTATTCCTTAGACGCAATCGGCCTTTAATTTTTCCGATTTTTATCCGATACTTATCACCAAAGGAACTATTTACAGAGGATCTGTATAAAATAGTTTAACTATAGAAAGAATTTAGAAGATCTACAAAGTATATTTAACAGGCGGGGAATTAAACGGCATATACATTAGGACTTTTTACCGGGTTAACCTACCTTACGGTTAAATGTAAACGTACTATTATTATTTATTTTCCATTCATAAGTAATTTCCATTAACTGGAGACTTCAATGAGCTTTACACCAAGCTTAATTCGAGGTCATATATACCTAAAATATATCAGGTGTTTTATATGGAGACTATCCAATGGTAAATTTTAGGTAGGAAGATTTGAACCGAGTGAAGCAATAGCCAATTTGATTGAGAAATGCGTGCGTAAAATACCGAAACTTAAGTGAATATTCCTAGTTTTTATACCCTCAGACTTATAGCTAATGAGGGTATATACATTTTGAAACGTTGATAATGTGCCTCATCGAAATATTTGTTTTAGACTACATGTTTTTTTGGGCCAAATCCGTTTCGGACAATTTGGAGTCGAATTACAAATGACCGTCCGACTGTCTGGCCGTCTGGGTGGCACTATAACTCTCGAAGGGAGCAACCGATTTCGTCCAAACTTAGCACATCGTAATATTTCTTCCAAACTTAGCTTAAGTTCGAAGATGAGGAATATCGGTCCACTCCTTCTGGTACTTCCCCCACAAAATGGTCATATTGTGCTAAAAATTAATTCTATAATATGATGCGAACGGATTATTCGGTTTAGACCAAACTTTGCACAATCTATTATCTTTACCAACTCTAGATCAAGTCCGAAGATGGGATCCATTGGTCCACTCATTTTGGTACATCCTCCACAAATGGCAAACAAATCAATATTTATAAATGCAATATAAGCCGAATAGATTGTCAGATTTGAACAAAACCTTGCACATCCTATTAGATTTACCAACCACTCCTTCCCGTACCTCCCTCACAAATGGTCAAAAAGGTTCAATATTTATAATACCAAATATTTAGAGAATACCGTTATATGGGGCCCTATACCAAAACGACGCAATATATTAAAATTTTAGAGCGCTTTGCTAAATATTACCAGCTCTATCGACATAGAATTATATTCTGATCACGAATATATGTCCCCATATATGCTTAATGGGGACATTGACGAACATTTCGATGTGTTTCAAAGGGAATTACAAATTTAATTAATATACTCCACCTTATTATGGTGTAGGGGTCGGATACATTATTTCAATACCGTTATAAAAAATTAGATCCAATATTTTTTATAAAGATTCTCATATACAAATTATTTTCTATTTTTTTTTTCTAAATCGTATTAAATTATTTTCGTGAATGTAAACACAATTAGTTTACACAATATTAACAACGATACAAATTGCGTGATATACATTGCTATAATTTACACTACTACCCACCCATCACCTATAAACAAATAATTTTCTATTTCTTTCAGTGCTGGTCTCTCATTGTTAATTCACACAATAATTTTCGCTTTTTTTGTTTAAGGTGTTTTGAAAGATTCTGGCGTATGTTTTCTTCTCACAGTTTATGATGTATATTTCCCTCATACATGAAAATATATGAATAATATATTTTTATTATTATTATTTTTAGTTTATATATAATTTTTTTTTTCATATTTATATTTATATACATATATTGGTATTTGAAACAAGCTTAATAATTGTAATGTGCGCAACGCTTATGGCCTCTGTTATCGAAGCAATACAACAAAACAACAACATGGTGTTTGGTTTACAGAATATCAAATATTTGTTTTTTTCTTCTCGAATTTCCTACTCTTCCCCTATTCCTAGTCTTTTATCAATCGGTAATGGTACATACATACTTAACACATAATCTATTACAATTGTAATCGACATAATCTGCGTCCTTTTGTACTGTCCATTGTCTAAATTTGTAAATTTTGTAATCTAAACGAAATAACAAAAAATGAGTAATTAATATCATCATTTGTAATTTAACTAACCTACATACAAACATAGTCGTTATATTCGTCGTATAATACATTGTTTTATTGTAATTTATTGTAAAAAAAGCAAAACATTGTAAACTCCTACCTTTCGTATCTTTGTCTACAAAACATTTGAAGTTCTGGTGATTGGTTGTCGATACAATTTTTTGGTAAAAGGGTATTTTTTTACATACGCATAATACCATTTTCATAAAATCGTCTTATTTTTTCTTGCAATTATATACATGCATATATTTATTTAAACATTACTTTACATTATGTTGAGACATTTTTGAAATTAATACAAAAGCAACAACAATCCATATATTTTATATTGTTCAATGGAAAATGTAGGTTCCCGTTCTGGTAATGTTACTCCCGGCGGCCATGGAAGTTCTTCAAGGCCTGGTAGTGCCATGTCCACATCCACTACAATGTCAACATCTGGATTCATTAATAGGCGTTCAATGCCAGCTGCCCGTAAACCTCGTCCAGCCAGTATTGCCGGTACCGTTGTTTCTTTAGAAGGTAAATAGTAAAGAAAAGGCATCCGAATTTAAAATTAACATAACTAAATGTCTCTTCTTCTCCTTTTTGGTAGAAATAAATAAAATTAAAAAGGAAAATAAACCGCCCGTTAAAAATTCATCACTTTCACCATCGACTTCAGCACAAACCACTCCGAAAAGATCAACGAACATGATGTCAACATCATTAATTGTCACATCATCATCCTCGCGTTTATCTAGTGCCGAGAAGAAGACACCCATTAAGAGAGTAAGTTTGATAATAATAAACGAGCGCACGATAACTCTCGAATGGAGTAACCGATTTTATCCAAACTTTGCACATCTTAATATTTCTACCAAACGTAGTTTATGTTCGAAGATGTGGAATATCAGTCCACTCCTTCTGGTACCTGCCTCCCAAAATATTGTCACATTTGCGCTAAAAATCAATTTAATAATATCATGCGAACTGAGTATCCGATTTTAATCAAACTTTGTTCAACCAATTATGTTTACCAAGCCTAAATCGATTCCCCCACAAATGGTCAAAATTTTCAATATTTGTAAATCCAATATCAGGCGAATGGAATGTCCAATTTTATATATCTAAATCTATTTATATCCATCTAAATTATTTATTTACATTATGTTCCCCCCATATCTCCTTACAGGAACCTCTAACACCGAAAGCCACAACACCAAAACCGCTTTCCAAAACAGCCAGTTCAGATCGTCTGCACAAATTAAACAAGGAAAAATCAAAGGATATTATGTCCAAGTCGGCCATAACGCCTCCTGTTAAACCAGCAACAACCAACAGCAACAAAGATGCTATTAAGAATAAAGAACAAAAGGAAGCCACAAAGAGCAAGGAACAAAAAGAAGCAATCAATCAAGTAAAAACTGCTGTTGAAAATTCTACCAAATCTCAACAGAATGGCAACGTTGATGCTGAAACAACCAAAAATCTAATTGATGGTGGCGCAGCGGATTCTCAGCTGAATACACCACATGAAGAAAAAGCCGATGAAGGCACCGAAAAAGAACCTGAATTGGAATCATCATCGTCGGTACCACCAAAACCTAAATCTCGCAGTGGCAGCAAGGAAGGTTCAATGGTTCGTGAATTGGCACCAGCCAACGAAAATGGCGATTCTATGACCGCATCTATGATGGCTAAAAGTAAAATTACCACAGAAGAAGAAGCCAAAGCTGCTTTGGCCGAAAGACGTCGTCTGGCACGTGAAGAAGCCGAAAGGCAGGCCGAATTGGAGAGGCAAAGGTTAGAAGCAGAACGTTTGGCCGAACTAAAACGGCAAGAAGAGGAAGCAGAACGTCAACGACAATTTGAAGAGGAAGCAATGCGTATGGCCGAAGAGCAGCGTAAGGCTGAAGAAGAACGTTTGCGTCAAGCCATAGAGGTGTGTTAATTTTAACAAAACCAGCAAATATATGGCACTAAATTAATTTTTTTTTTTTAATCTTTAAAGGAAGCAAAACAACGCGAAGAAGAGGAAAAACGTAAACGCGAGGAAGAAGAAAAACAGCGTCAAGAACGCGAAGCGGCCGAGAAAAAGGCTCGTGAGGATGCTGAAAGGCTAAAACTTGAAACGGAGGAACGTCTTAAGCGCGAAGAAAAGGAACGCGAAGAACGACGAAAACGTGTTGAAGCCATTATGTCACGTACACGTAGAGGTGGCGCCAATACGACACCGAACTCCACTCCAACAAAGGTAATTAAGACTAGTGATTATACAAACCGAAAAAACGCCGTTTCATTACGTTCGAGATTTAACACATTGCGTATGAACAAGAGGGCTTAAAATTACTCTTTGGGGTCTTGTATAATTATACAAGAATTAAAAATAATAACACTGTGCTACAAAATAACAAAAAAAATTTTTCAGGTGTTCTAATGTACCAATTCTGTTTAGTTGGAGTCCCTGGATCACGAAAATACCTTTGGTTTTTCTGGGTCACTTCGAAAATTAATTTTATAACGGTAAATATAGAGAAAAACGTGGTTTCATGGATTTTCCATTTGAAACTTGAATAACTTATTTACTTTATAACGGGTTTATATTATTTTTTTTTTCTTTCGAAGAGTATAATTTTTCCTTTCAAACAAGATATATATTTGGTAAATCGGTTGAGGATTGGCTGAGTTACAGCGGTTGAAATGTGAAAAAATACGCATAAAATGACAAAATTTATTTTTCTTCGGACTGTACGATTAAATTATGATATCAAGCCATATAAGTTTTATTATATTACGGGGAAGAAAATTAAATTAGCTTTCGAAAATGATAAAAATCTATGCATATTCTCTAAAGGCAAAAGGAAACGAGATAGACCCATAGTTCCTTTAGAGAATATGCATAGAATCAATACAAAAATGTGTATAAATCATCCATTTTTAACCGATTTTTTTGATTTTTATCATTTTCGAAAGCTAATTTAATTGTCTTCCCCGTAATATAATAAAACTTATATGGCTTGATATCATAATTTCATCGTACAGTCCGAAGAAATATAAATTTTGTCACTTTTTGCGTATTTTTTCACATTTCAACAGCTGTAACTCAGGCAATCCTCAACCGATTTACCAAATATATATCTTGTTTGAAAGGAAAAATTGTACTCTTCGAAAGAAAAAATAATATAAATCCGTTATAAAGTAAATAAGTTATTCAAGTTTCAAATGGAAAATCCATGAAACCACGTTTTTCTCTATATTTACCGTTATAAAATTAAATTTCAAAGTGACCCAGAAAAACCAAAGGTATTTTCGTGGTCCAGGGACTCCAACTAAACAGAATTAGTACATTAGAACTCCTGAATAATTTTCGTGTCGCACAGTGTAATTTGTATGTTAGTGTGTATTTTAAATACGCCTCTAAATTACTAGAGTATTTAGGGACCAAACAAGAGCGAAAGAATATCGCTTTTTTAGTCTTGTTAAATTGTGTATTACCTTAAAGCCCACGTCGTTATATGGGAATTATTCGAAGACTTGGATTGATAATAATTACTAAACACTCACATGTTAACATTTCTCATGTTTCCTTTTTTTTTTTGCAGGAAAATAACAACTCTCCCAAACCAACAGAGACAGTAGCGCCGACGGCGGCAACAGCTGTTGCTACACCACCACCATCGTCAGCTGTCCAACAAGCTCAAGTTACACCAAATTCAAATAATGTTGCCACTTCAGATTCTGCAAACACCACTTCTGTAGCAGCCGCTACAACAGAAGTCATCAACAGCGGCAGTGACAGTGGATCGACATCCGGTTCCAATACCAGCACCTCGATTACACCTTCAACGCCAGCAGCAACAACAGCATCACAACAATCCGAAGTCCAAACACAACAACAACCACAAGCAGCACAACCAGTAATTTCTGAACCTCAAAATACACAAGCGATGTATGAGCAGTCAGTTGTCGATAAAGAGAACTCGCTCATCAATAGCTTTTCCAATATGATTATCGATGAGAATGTTAAAAATATGCAACAAAATTTGCAGCAGCAACAACAACTGCAATCACAACTGGTGGCCGAAGAAACAACAACAAATGGCAAGCAAATATTCGCTGAACATCAGAATAACGATGCTAATACCACAACAACCACCACCACACAGTCGGTAGCCAATGGCAATGGCCATCACATAGAAAGTATTAATAACAAGAAGTAAGTCTATATTATTTTTAATCGATTTAATTTGTATACAATAGTAATTGTCTCTTTTTCCCTTCTCCTCTCCCCCTCTCTCCCGTTGCAGTGAAATTGATCTTTTACAAACGATTGTACCATCAACAAATCAGTTAATCGATCTTAGTCTTGAACCACAAGACAATGTTAATTTCAATAACAATAATAGTTTAATAACAACAACAAATACAACGCTAGTCACTGCAGATAGTCATGAAAACAAAGGTATGTACTTACAAAACAAACAATAACTGAATACCAACAACTACCAAGAAATTAGAGGAGTATTTTATAAAATTGTATACAACGCTATTTCCTTAGCGAATGTGGTAATTATTTAAAAACCAGTACCGATCATAATTAAAACGTTAATACCATTTAGTACCTATATTCTCTTATAGTACATATTTCCAGAACTACCTCCATATCTCAACTGACCGCAACAGTAATCTGTCTCTATACTAAATTTGGTATCATTTAATATTCATTTCCAATTTAAATACCCATTTAAATTTCCCAAAAATTTACAAATTTCAAATAGATATACCAAAGGGTTTTTGGGGCATACTTATGCGAAAAGTACTGAAATATACTAAATTTAGTACAATTTCGTAGCATGTGAATGGATAGAGCTAAAAACTTGAAATTTGGAATGCGAATTAGGGTTGGAGGGTCGATATAAGGAGATGGTTCTGAAAGCGTGTACTCATAATTACGAAAAGTACTAAAGTACTCTAAATTAAATTTGTACCAAATATAGTGCCATAATATTTGGTACAAATTTAATTTAGAGCTGGAATCCTGCAATAGGACCGTAGGAGTGTAGGATTGGGGTATGTACGTAGTCTTGGAAATTTGGATTTGGGTGAACCGATAGAGTTGGAACAATGAAATTTGGAATCAGGATCACTGTTGGGGTGTAGGATTGGGGTCAGGATTCAGTTTAAGAAATTAATAATTATGGGTACAAAATGGTACTAAATTTAGTACAATTTAAATTTTTAGTGGACCAATGGAGCTGTAATCCTGAAATTTGAAGTTAGGATCACTGTTGGGGTGTGAGATTGAGATATGTAGGAAGTTCTGGAATTTTGTACTAATGTGTACTAACTAAATTTGGTACAACTTAAATTGTGGGTTAAGCGATAGAGTTGGAATCTTGAAACATGGATTTAGGATCACTGTGAGGATGTAGGTTGGGGTTAAGGAGGTGTATGTTTGGGTTAAGTATTAAGTTTTGAAAATTCGTACTACTGTGTACTAAATTTGGTACCATTTGAATTGCGAGTGGACCAATAAAGTTGGAATCCTGAAACTTGGATTTAGGATCACTGTGGAGGTGTATGTTTGGGTTAAGTAGGAAGTTTTGAAAATTCGTTCTACTGTGTACTAAATTTGGTACAATTTGAATTGCGAGTGGATCAATAAAGTTGGAATCCTGAAACTTGAATTTAGGATCACTTTGAGGGTGTAGGTTTGGGTTAAGTAGGATTTTCTGGAAATTCGTACTACTGTGTACTAAATTTGGTACAATATAAATTGTGGATGAGCCAATAGAGTTGGAATCCTGAAATTTGAATTTGGAGTCGTTGTGGGGTGTAGGATCGGGGTATGCAGGAAGTTTTGTTGGATAGTTGAGGAGGGTACTTACGGAAATAATGTGTGCGAAATGGAACTAAATTTGGATTTGGCAAAATCTTTAGAGCTCGAATCATGAAATTTGGTACTAAATAGTATTTAAATTTAATTTATTGTCGATTTGAATGTGTGGATTGCTTAGTTGTTCTGACATATGCAGTTTTCTATGAAAATAAAATAATATGTTAATACATGTTTAAATATTTCCCACATATGCTAACGAAGTAGCGGACATATGCTAGTATATAATATAGGGAATTCATTTTTTGGTTTTAGACTTTTAAAACTTTAATAAACTGTTCATTTCTAATTTATTTCGATTACATAAATAATATATTTATCTCATTATCTATCTAAAATTGATTTCTAATTTTTTTCTAGATATTTCATTGCTGTGAGTTTATGGTTACGGAAATAAACAACCGAGATTACTGGATGTGTAGGTCTATAAATATATATATATTGCTACATAAGTACATATATATGTAAAAACAAATATATTGAATGCAACACTATATATGGTGGGGTTCGTTCTCTAAAAAAACAACAACATAACGATGATTTATGCAGATAATGGATATGCTGTCTCTGTGTATGACTAATTAAAAGCCAGAATGATGGAAGCCAAGCTACTACCGTGGTGCAATGGGAGAGAGAGTGTTAATATTTTCCAGCTCTAAAATTCCCTCACCACCCCGAACGAAAAAAAAACTTATTACATCAACCACAAAAATTTAATATTAAGCAAACCACACACACATACACCTTCTTTAAACAAAACAAACCAGAATACATTCAAAATATATATTTAACGAAAAGATACGCGCGACAAATTATGGTTACTAGAACTCTATATACATATACACAACTCATATACATGAAACGCTTTTGGCAAAACAAAAAAAAACCAAACCATATATTCATGAAAAATAATGCAAGCAAAACAAAACAACAACAAAAAATCCTAAACAATTATTAGCTTAGTTTGTAGATACTTATTTAAAAACAAATTTATTTGAAAAACAAATGCTTCTTTTAAAGAATCTTATTTTTCTCTCTCCCCCACCTTTTTTTAAAGGCCAGCATTGCTCTATTAGAAGAAAGAAACATAATTTGTTTGAAATTTAAACGACAACGTTACACAACATTTGAAAGACAATATAGACTTTCCCTACTCTACATCTAATCTAAAATATAAAGAAATAATCGGCAAACGTTTTCTTTGCAAACAGAGTGCCTAGTGGTTAGAGCAATTTTTTTCAGATTTCAAGAAACTCCTCTTGGATTTGTTTTCACCTCCATGCCTAGCAATATACATACATATATACAGAAACCACAATACTATATAATTTAAATTATATAAAAACAAAGCTATAAATTTATCCAAATCGAGCAATGACAAGATTACCCATTCAAAAATAGTCTAGATAGATATATATATTTTTTTCTTCTAAATCAAGGCAGAATATTTTGTGTACAAGTCTTTCGTTCGTTACATGATTGAGTACGAATTGTTTTGTTGTTTCTTTTGACTATAAAACAATCGGTAGCATCTTTGCACGCCGTCGGTGTCATCTTCAGAGAATGTAAACGACAGTTTCCGTCAGTTTCGTCGTCATATGTAACAATTTGTATCCGTGATTTATTTAATAAAGACATTATGTGTAGATATTCTGCCTCTTTTTTTTCTTTCTTCGTTTTTTCTCCCTCCCGTCAACCTTGTTTTCGTCCTGTAATACTTGTCTTCTGGTTTAGATTCATTTCACTAAATGAAATTGTGCAACAATTATTCGATATATTTTGTATTTAAATATTATTTTTTTAATATTACAAATAAAAAAACATTATGGTAGCATTATAGGTTTAACTAATTTATATTAAAAAAAAACAAAAACAACAAACATTAATCGATAACAAAACCTACAACAACAAAGCTATATATCATTATAAAAATATCCGCCTGTGTAATAAAACTAAATAATTATGAAACAACCTAAACTAAATGATTATATATTTAAAAACATAAAAAATAATAATGAAAGGTCTGATTATAGTTTAAAAAATTCATATGTCAGAGTCAAGCTTCTGCAAGAAATTAAAAGAAAACGGAAAAGATATAACAATGGAAAAGGAAAACAAAACCACTTTTATTTGTATTTTTATGTGTAGTTAATGTTAATTATAAAATATTACTTCGTATATTTAAAGTTTATTTTTTGTATTATCAATAATATTTAAACAAACAAAAAACAACAACAAAACAAAATTTTTGTTCTTTTTATTTTATTTTCGTTTTTTTTCTCATTTCTTTAAATTTCAGAATTTCAACCAATAAATACTACAAGAAAAAAAACAACATTACAAAATTAAAAAAATTATCGTTTTTCAAAAAAATACAAATATATTTAGGTCATGTCCTATAAATAAGGTCTACCGGGAGTCGAATTCATGCACGTTTTGACAGTCTGTGAAAACTTTAGCTGGCCTTATTAATAAACCTTGATTTAGGTTTAGATGTGCTAAATAGAGATGCACATTTGAGACCATTTAAAGGAGGGATAAATGCGTCACATTATGGTAATGCAGGTACCAAATTCAATATCCACCTTCTCAACTTAATAGGGTTTGTTGAATGTCCCTATTACCCAAATACACAAGGGCCTTATTTTTTATATATTCCGTAACATGTAAATATTTCATAATGCATGTGAAATGGTTAGGTTATTAGGTTGGGGAAAAATAAATCCATTATTTCAGCAGATGGCTGTACTGAAAGATTTCTCGTCAAGTATCGATCAATCAATTTCAGACATATACTCGTTGGAGGGTTGACATTTCGCAGTAAAACAATTATTTTGCTGTTTTTGTTTAGTACATTCAGTGAGAAAGAAAATTCGGTACATTTTACAGTTTTTCTTTGACAAAGGCGAAAATGCAAACCAAGCGGCTAAAATTTGAACGGTTTCTATGGTTCCGATACTGTAACAGCCAATTATGTGCAAATCACTGAAATTATCAAAGTTGACCGGAAGTTTGCAGTCGTAACATCGCCCAGGAGCTAAAAATCTACCATAAAACTGTTTTAAACCATTTAAATGGATTTCTTTTTCGCCAACCTAATATTTTAGTGAAACATTTCTTGTCGAACACTGCTTCACATTCAGTTATTTTGCTTACTTAGCTTGCTTGTGACAGAACTTTCTGAATCTTCGTACGGTATTAAAGAGCTTCGAGAGGTCCTTTCCGGCTTTAACTGGTGATCTTGTGCCAGTTAGAGTTGTCCTGCATAGCCGCATTAATTTTGCAGGAATGCCAAACGCAGACATGGCTTTAAGCACCTCTGAACGGACAGGGCTGTCGAATTCGGCTTTAAAGTCGACGAATAGGTGGAATGTGTCGATGTGTTTTTCGTGGGTTTTTTCCCGGATTTGGCGCAGAGTGAAAATCTGGATTTGCCAGGTCTGAAGCCGCATTGGTATGGTCCAATAATGTCATTGACCATTGGCTTCAGTCGTTCACACAGCACGCTGGATAGCACATTATATTATGCGAAGGGAAGGAGACTTATTCCTCTATAGTTGGCACATATCGTCTTGCCTTATTTTATGTGCACGGGACACAGGATGCTGAGGTTCCAATCATTGGACATGCAGTCCTCTAGCCAAATTGTACTAATCAGCGGGGGCATTCTCCTTACCAGTATCTGACCACCAGTCTTGAATAGTTCGGCTGGTAACCCATCGGCTCCTGATGTTTTATTGTTCTTCAGACGATTGATTGCTATTCTGATCTCATCTTGGCTAGGTGGTATACACTCTATACTGTCGTCTATTATTGCTTCTTCCAGATCCTCAGCACGCTGTTTGTATCCGTCGCCAGGTTTCCTTCTTCATCTCTACAGGAGAACGTGCCTGCGCCAAAGCCTTCGGTTTTTCTGAAAATACGTTTCTCCCTTTCTCTTGATAATTCTCCATCGCATTACGTGTTGCTACTATCCTCAGGGTTGCCCTATACCCTGCGTTTTTCACATCAGTACCATTACGACACTCCTGATCGTACCATGGGTTTCTTGATGGTGGCTTTTGATACCCAAGTTTTGCTTTTGCTGCAGTTTGTAGGGAGTGGACAATTCTTTGCCATTGTGCTTCTATATTATAATCGGTACAAGAAGTGTTTTCGTCAATCAGGTGGGTAAGTTGAGCGGAGTAGGCCTCTGCAGCTTTTTGGCGTCGAGTTTCCATTTTACATTAGATCGCAACTATGCTGCTATATTAAGACGGGTGCGAACATTGGCTGCCACAAGGTAATTGTCCGAATCGATATTCGCTCCTCGTATCAATTATTTTATTTGGGCGAAATCAGTAAAAATTCAAGACAATTACCCAACGAGTAACAAATATAGTGTTGTAAAGCACGGTTGAAGTCTTTGATATGGTCAACATAGAAATTTCCTTTGTAAACGCCATGTTACCCTGTGTTTGCAATCGACAGGGTAGTTAAGTTAATGCATTAAATTCCAAAAAATGTTTTTGTGACACAATTTTTCCCGAAAGAACAAGAATTTTTGAAAGTAGTCCATAATGGGAATTATATGAATTATTAATTTTGGTGTGTTCCTGAACTGTAAGAATCTATTAATTTTTACTACTTTTTCGATATCATATAGGGAAATTTTTATCGTAGTGACAACTTTATTGCTATAAGTATAATCAAATTTTGACCATTGGGCAGGTAAAAGAAGGAATGGACCATTATTCCGCCATCTTCGAATTTGAACTAAGTTTGAAAGAAATATTACGATGTACAAAGTTTGAATGAAATCGGTTGATCCCTTCAAGAATTACCGCGCACCAGTCGGTTATGTAAACAGACAAATCTTTACCTTTTTGTTGGGTACTATGTAATTCAAACATGGACGCATATTAAAAACATTTGTGCGAGGAGGAATTCTACACCTCTAAAAATATCTATAAAATAACTAATTTAAATCTACAAATCAGTGATGTGACTGTACGCCGGAGATTGATCGAATTAATGGAAAGGTCCTCCAGAATTAATGGAAAGGTCCTCCTTTTGACAAGTAAGCATGGCAACGCTAATTTGAGTTTTGCAAAATCTCATAAAGGCTTGCCAGTAGAAAAGAGGCGTAACATATTAATGACAGAATATCGTATATGGCGGAACAGGCTCAAGACAGTATGTTCGAATTCCCCCCAAACACGGAATACCATCTTCAATACACAGACAAAATTGAAAAGCATGAAGGGTTGAGTATAATGGTCTGGGCCTGGACCAATCCATGTGCTTAATAGTACAATGGATAGACCACTGGTTGTTAATAACCTAAAAAACAGTATGCTACCATAAGCCATTTAGGAAATGCTCATTAAATGGACATTTCAACAGAATAATGATCCTAAACACACCAGCAAAGGACTGAATTGATTCCAAAAGGATTGACGTAATGCCACGGCCTGCGCAGTCACCGGATCTTAATCCGATTGAAAATTTGGTGGCAGATGTAAAACAATGTGAAGCCAACGCTAAACCAACAACAAAAGCTGGATGTAGCTCAAGAAACATGGATCCAGATACCAGAACAGCGATGCAAGGACCTTATCAACTATATTCGCGCCGTTGCGAGCTTTGCACCTCTCTCGTACAAACAAAGACTTGCCGCAAGTAAACTTGCCTAATCTAAATTGGGATTAATAGAAAAAATGTACTTGCGCAATTTAATTAGTGTGTTATGAAAAAAATCTCCCTCCGCGAGACAAAAGAAAATGACAATCCACAGGATTAAAAATGCCAGGTTATATTCCAAAGATGTCTACGTCCAGAAATGAGATGACTCCAGGTAAGTGTGGTGAAGGGTATAAAAATACGTGTTTCTACACAATATTACAGTTTAGTACTTACAACCCAACGGCACTACTATTTTAATGAACACAGCTGTATTTGATTGGTATATTCCCGTACTGCAAGAATTTACCACTTTTTACTACGACGATACACAGTACGTGGGACTTTCAATCAAAATATCCGATAACGATTACTTCTTACACGAACTTAGGATAAGAAAGTTTGTATTATCGATATCAATGCATTATTCAAAGTCGACCTAAGTACCCCTACTGTGCAGAAATTACACCATTCAACAGCTTAATTATTAAGTTCTCAAATTCAACTGCTGGTTAAGCATTCACATTTGAGCGTTCCAACGATCACAACGTGCGTAAAGAAACGGAGTAGAAACGTAGAAAAAAAAACAAATTACACAAATACAAGAACTGTGCAACACTGTGATAGAAAACAACAAATTTGCAATTATTATTAAGCGCATTTTTATTAATATCAATTCAAAAAATTGCAAAATCGTAAAAAAGCGTTTAAGCTTTAAAGCAGTATTTAAAATAAATTCACATAACTACATTCTTTAAACAAATACAAAAAAAAAAACACCATGTCTGTCAATCGTGCACCAAAGTCAGGCTTTGCAGCTGAAGCTCAACGCAAGGTAAGTTGTTTGGGTGACACACACCAAAGGATGGAAAGAAGACAAAAACAAGAACAATATGTTAACGAAAAAAATTGGTGTATGTATTTTGATATTTGTATGAAGTAGTAAAACCAGAAATAAATTCCAATTGAGAATGGCGGCAAAAACAAAAAAAACATACAAAATTGAACAAGTACTACAACAACAATACAGTCCTCTTTTAGTCACTACACAACATTTTGTTATGAAATGCCGATATTTAATTGAAAATAACGACGATGAAGATGTGGTGTTGTTGTTTCTGTTGTTGGTTAAACAGGAGTGGTAGAGCAACAGTTGGTCGTCATTGTATAAATAATAGAAATGTGAATGTGTGTGTAAAATTATGACGTCAAATCTTCTTTTGACTTACAATACAAATGTTTCATTGATAAAAAAAATCTTTACGGTATAAAGCAATTTCTCAACGATTTTTTTATTTCGTTAACCAAGGTTATTTTGTAACTTTTGTTGTTTTGTTTTAATATTTTATTTTAGATTTTCTTGTTTTTTTTTTTTTGCTTGCTAAGTAAACATTTTTATTTCCAAAGAAGATACCATTCGTTGGTGGGTGACACTGTTGGTATTTTTTGTTTCATTTCGTTTCGTTTGGTTTTCTGCTTATTGTGGTTGTGTTGGCTTGTTAAACGGCTTCTTTCAAAAGGCCATTTGGCCACGTAATTTAATGCAGCTACGAGGATTAAATACTTAACAAATTTTTACACTTGCATTGTATAAACAAAACGGAGAACACAAAATAGCAGATTGAATATTTCAACACATTTGTCTATTGGATACAATTACAGGTAGGGGAGGGAGGTACGTTACTTTTATGTGTCAGTGTACGGGGCGATATTTAGAGATTTCAATAAAAGAATTTTGAATTTTTGTGGGTATTTTATTGAATTATCGAGTTGAAATTTTTAGAAACGAAAATAGTAAGGCAAATTGTATTGAAGTTAATAAAAATCGTGACCGGAAATATATTTCTTTGGTCCCACACACACACACCCACACACTTTCAGGTGTTTACGATACTCTACACATTAGGTAGAGTGTGTGTATATTACATTTTTTTATTCCTTTTGCAACAAATCGAAATAGTTCTCGGAACGCTTCAAACCTTGTTAGATCATTTGGTATAACATAGAATAATATAGGTCATAATTACAACAACATAATTTTCACAAAATAATATTCACTTCCTGATAAATGGACCTTAACAATTACCCACTTAATTAAAATTTAATGACAATATGGGAATAATTTTGAAGCAAAGTTTGGAGAATTTATTTTTAGTACTATAAGCAACAATAGAGGACATGATTACAACGATATATATTTTTTTCTTGTGGAAGTCGAAACTACCTGAGATATCAGCCTCAAAAATGCATTTGGAACCACTGTATTAGGTTAGGTTGAAAAGAGGGGTCTCAGGTCACTTCCTATCTAGGTGGCTTCCTCAACACTGGGGTGTTAGCCGACATCGCGCCCATTAGTGTTTACGTTTCGCAGTCAGGGTCCCGACTGTATTCGAATGGAGCCTTGTTGTTACCTGGGCGACTCGGCAAGTTTTTCTAACGCTTACTTGGCGAGTCCTTACCATGGTAAAATACTATGCCATGACTGAACTCATGTCCTCAATCCAAGAATTTTCTATGGAGCCGACTGATGTTGGTTGGTGTGGCTGCCTTGGCACATTCGAATTCTACAAGGTCAGATCATCCCAATCAAACTCCACTAATGATGACGACCGACGACAATGTACCGCACCACTCTTCTGTTACTTCAAACCCTATCACTCAAATTTGGAGACCTTAGAGAGCAAACCGGCTCCTTCCGACTTAGTCCGAGTTGAGTATCCCGACTCAACTCTGGGATGACTCACCCTTGACGGAAGAGGAAAACGCTATGGATACCACAGTGATTAACACAATGGTTATCCTAGTGACTCCTCAAAATTAAGGTGAGTCTTCCACGATGATGAGAAAGGGTGCAATCCCTGGCGAGGATGAAGATACTTTTACTATTTTGAAGGTCATTGTTTAATCTATATATCTATATAAATAATATTTTTCCGATTATTTTTCTTTTTAAAGTTGAAAATCTTTGTGACAGTTTTTACGTACGTGAACACATACTAAAGTGGATTGCGAATTTTTTATCCTGGTATTTGTTTTATTTTCTTTGAAGGTAGAAATCGCATTTTATGTGCCACATTTTTCTTTGCAATAGATACTCAGAAGCTATTTTGATACCATTTTGTAATTTCGATGACAAAAACACCAACAACTATCTATAACTGAGGATTAATATTTTATTAGTAATGAAATATTTGGCAATAAAGACGATGTCATCATTTTACTCGAAGCATGGGGATATTATTTAAAAGATATTTGGATTAAAAATGTTTTTAAAAGTACACCAAACACGTATTAAAAGTACACCAAACACGTATTAATAATATAAGTTCATAAATTAAATTTAAGATATTAAAGAACAAATCTTTGGCGTTATCATCTGAGTTAAAGAATTTGGATTCTGTTATATTAGACACTAGGTTAACATTTGAATTTCATATTGATGTCGTTGCTGCTAATGTTTGGGGTATTCTGCGCAGAATACGTTCGACAAATATGTTCTTGCCCTTCCGTATGTAAAAGCTACCTTAGCTCGATATTGAACTTGTAATATAGTATTGGCCGTCAAGGTTTTATTATTACTGAATGAATAAATAAATAAAATTCTATCTTGATAAAAACCGAAATGCTTCTTAGAACTGAGTTAACAAATGTAGAATTATCCCAATATGTTTTGATCAGGGTATTTTATTCCAAATACGACAGGCCTAGATTTTTTTTTTAAATTCTTACGAATTCCCGCCATATCATCTGCTAACAGTAAAACTATACTTCGTTTTCAATTAATGGACATACACACATTTGTATATGACAAAATATAGGATTGCAAATAGACATTGTTGACTCAATACTCAACCCAAATGTAAAATGTTTTATGTGTTAAAATAATTTCGTCTCCCCTTTTTTATTATTATTTCTTAGGGTGGTTGGTTGGCAATAGCCGAGATAATGAAGGTTGGAATGTGCGCTTTGTACTTATTTTTTTTAAGACTTTGTTTTCTTTGCAATGACAGAGAAATTTTGTTGTTGTGTATATGGCGAGATATATGTAGTACGGATTCCTCCTATGATGTCATCATATTATTATGGTTGTTTGTTCATTGTTTGTTTTGCTTGCGAAATGACGACACTGTTGTAAAACGACAACGGGGGGATAAGTGGTGGTATACTGACTGCATTATCAATCGCCGCCTTGTACTATGTGTTGTCATTTGTTTAGGTAGATGATAAGATATCTGGAATTTTCTAATGCATTAATAATAGCATTTTAAAAACTTTGCGAAAATTTAAAATTTTTCAAAATTTGTAACCGATATTCGGTAACATAAATAGAGGCAGGTAAAATGAATCATATTCCCCAAGATTGGCAAAAGATTTCAAATTTGTGAACAAAAGAACAAATAGTTGACTTCTGGAACCAAGCAATTAGTTACAGAACATGTGTGGAATTCCATTATATCGACTTCCATTTCATTCTTTCCTATAAAGACGATCTATCACTTCCAATAACTTCAACAAAAAAAAAAAAACAAACAAATATAGATAATAATATGACTTTTTCAAAATTTAACTGTCTTCTACTTTGGTCTGTGTTTTTATGTGTATTTCCTAATTCTACAGTCCGTCCCATTTGTAGACATACATACACACACAGCCAAAAACGATCAAATTTCACATAGAACGTCGTATACACATGGAAACACCACACACCTTCTGATAAAATGTGTGTCTCTTTACCATTCCTGTCTAGATCGTTCTCAAAAACAAAACAAAAACAGAAAAAGTTATTTGCTTTATTGTTATTGTTTGATGTTTTCCATTACTGCTATCTGTATGTGTGACTGTGTGTTTTCTTTTCACCATATAAGGTATATATTTTTCAAGTATAGTATGTGTACAACAAGTTCATATACTATAATATTTAGATATCAGCTCTCTTATCTGTCTGTGTGTTTGTAAAAGTGTCGTCAAAAAATAAATAAATTCTTACTAATGACATGTCAAATGCAAGTTGTCTTCTTGTTATTCCCTACTCCATAAAGTGGAAATATCAGAAGATTCTCTCATTGAATCTTCTGATATTTCGAGGTGTTTATTCCTGTTGAAATCAGCATTAGAGCTGGCAATTTTTAAGATAAAGCTTTCTTAGGATGTTTGGTATTGAAAATTTTATGTATCTGTATTTCGAGGTTTTAGTCTAGTCCCTCATATAACGGTATCCACAAATATTAGGTATTTTGGGGAGTTTAAGTATTGGTCCACCCATACCTCCCAAATTTCGTAGAGATGGGTACGCTTTTTCAACCAAAATTGACTGTCATTTGACATTGAATTCTAATTGGATATCAAATCTTCCAACTCAAAAAAATCAATATTGATCCACATTTTAGGCTAAACTATTATATAATATTATATCCCAAATATGCGATATTTTCGGGAGTATTAGGTATTTTGTGGATTTTTTTGGTATTGGTCCACCATTATCTATACCTTCCAAATTTCATAGAGATGGGTACGTTTTTTTTTCAACCAAATTAAGTGTAATTTAGCATTTATCCTTCAATTCGGTAGTTTGGTCACGATTTTAAACCGAATTTTGACTTTCATTTGATATTTTTGATTTTCATTGTGTTGCAAATCATCCTACCGAAATTTTTAAATATTCAGCCTTATTCTGGATGTCAATTCCGTGTGAAATTACTCGCTCTTCCCCTTCGGCTTATTCTGAACAACATTTTCCTGTGAATTTTTTCGCATTCTCGCTTTCGCCTTATTATGAATGAAGTTCGAAAGCGAAAAAATCCGCTTCGGGGAAAAATTAGGTATTCTGAATTACAG